AGGCTTACGCCTATTTCCCTCAATAAACTGAACTGAACTGAACTGAACTGTCAACAAAGTGACTTTTTGGTCAAACGGGTGGCTTTTAAATTCTACGTCAAAGTGCGTAATCTTGCGCCTAAACGCCGGCTCATATGCCTCTCCCAAACCTTATTACGATGTTAACGAGACGCACTGGAACATTCAGAGAGGCATAAAGGTCTGGGTGTTTAATGGCCACAAATCTAATGCCCTAAAAACACTGTAGGAAGGTGGCTCAGAAGTCAACTAGTGTGTTTAAATGGATTACACGTGCATCTAAAATATTCCCACCCGAACTCTTTGGAAAACTTTTCGGAGTCTTTGCTAGAGCCCACCTGGAATATTGAGAGTTAGCAGCCACGCCATGGACGAGGAAGTATAGTGACTTACTCGGACAGATGCACTGCAGAACAGCGAAGATGGTCGATGGTTTGAGACATTTGTCGTACCAGTAGAGGTTGAATACCCTTGGCTGATATCCTCTCATTGGCGACTGAACTGCAACCGGTTCTGGACATTCCAGATTATCCGGGACTATGTTTGCTCACTGGAACCGGAGGACTGCTTTGCATTTGCCTGCTCAAACCACTTACGCGGCCATTCCTAAAAATTCAAGAGCGAACACACTTGGCTAGACCGCAGGAATTTTCCCTCCAGCTAACGGGTTTTCCGGCCGTGGAACTCACTACAGAGTGATGTAGTGAGGGCTGACATTGTTTTCTTGTTTAAAAAACGACTTGCTCAGGTATATGTCAGCAAAAACCGGCTTGTACAACACAGCTACTAATAGCCAGCTTTGCAAAACACTTCGTCATCCATAATATTTTCGTACGGACTTTCAGTGAACAGAAGCGATCTCTTTTTAATAATGTTGTACCACGAGCTGACTGCATTCTATAGGTTTGCCAATTTATTTTGGAGTTGGATATGCAAAATGACTGCGCATAAATAAACTAATCGAGGGCTCCGCCTTTAACCCTTTAAATAAAAAATGCATAAGCGCAACTGGACAAAAGCCTGGAGACCGTTTTTTGAGTTCCAGCACGATGCTGCGGTCTGCCGGTTTATATAAGTAAGCAACTTTCAAGTCATCGACATGCAAAACGGCGGAATAACATTACCAACGAAGCCAAGGGAGACTGGAATCGCCGCTTCTAGCTTATTAGCCCATCATCACCCAGCCCTGCCTAATCCCGAGGTGTGCAACCCCCGAGGCTCAAGATCGTTTTTTCTGTTATTATTTTTATGGAGGGGTTTTTTTTTCTCCTGTAAAATCAATCCAATCATTTTTAACTTTTAGTAAGGAGTTTTTTTCACCCCTCAATCATCATGTTTCTGAATGGACTTCTAATTCAGAAACTATGAATTGCATTTTGTAAAGATTCGGCCTACCTCGTCTAAAACTCGCATGCAAATTTATTTTAACTTGCTTTGATGGGACCCCGACGGGTCTTTAATAAAAATAATTGAATTGAATTGAATTGATCGTGTCCTGTTGTGCGCTGCGGTTCTCGCTCTTTCTCGAGCCCAGTCAACAGCCGCACGGTAGTGCGTAGTCCGTGTAGAATATCATTACTAACAAAGACCAGGGAGATTCAAATGGCCTTTTCTGACCTATTAGTCTTCACCTGCCAGCCAAACTCGGGTTCAAGATATGCAACCTCTGAAGCTTGAACTCGTGAGCTATTGGTTGAAAATTCAGCATCCTTAACACTGAGCCACGGGCTTATTGCATGTCGGTTGCGATCGGATATATTTACAATGGCTAAGGCCTGCCATTCTGAAACAAGTATGGTACAAGGGGACTGTGAATTCTTAGTCTCCGGTTCCACGAAGACACGTCTGACTGGCACTTTTTCAATGGCTTTACCAAGATCGGCAAACAATGCAAAAACCGGTCCGTTAGCATGGTTCCAGCACAATGCTGATTGTAAGCCGTATTATTGCAGAAGATGAAGTCAGAATCAGGGCAAAAAGAAGAATTACCCACGGGAATGGTTGAAAAAGTCCATCCTCATTAATTAAATGTATGAGCAAAGCGCTAATTAAGTAAAACAGGGCTGACCTTTTGATGTGAGAAGTAAATAGGTCCACATTTCGAAACTTTATTTAAGAGTTAAGGTAAACACTGGTTCAAATTAGATTATTCTACTGACATGGATAACATATTTTCTTACAGTAAAATCACAAACCGTGTGCGTTGAGACCTCCAGGTCAACTCCTACCACCGTTCTAAGTGTCGTCTCCCAGGACTCAGTCTTAGTGTTGTTTCTATTGTTATTTTACATCAACGACTGCGTCGACAACCTGGGATGCAACGCCGTCATGTTTGTTGACGATGTTAAACTGTGGAGAGCCATCACATCTGGAGCGGGCAGGTACGCGCTTCAAGACAGTCTCATCCGCCTAAGCAGTTTGTCAGCTCGTTGGCTCCTCAATTCTAATGTGAACAAATACGTGTTCCTGAGATTCCTCACCAGAATGACCAGTGAGGAGGATGATTCCTTTCTACACGTTCTTGACGGGCAGGCCCTTTGGAATTTTGTGGAACAAAAAGACCTCGTCGTCCCAATGACCTCCTCGCTGAAAGTACCGTCACAGTGTCAAAGGGCAGCCAAACGCGCCATACGGGCGTTATTTGCTGTGAGGCGAGGATTTGTGCAGATCAACAAGGAGCTGTTCGTAAAAACCTATGAGGCATGCGTTCGGTCTCATTTAGAGTATGCAATCCAGGCCTGGCGACCGTAGATGAACAGTTGGAAAGAGTACACGCGATAACTACGAACATTGTGAAGAATCTTGGTCATCTGCCTTACGAAACCAGAGTGGCCGGATTAAACCTGTTTCCTCTCAATTTCAGGCAACTGTGTGACGTTCTCATTAAAACCTACGATACTATCAGAGGCCGTGAGTGCGGCCTAGAGTTTGGTGAATTTTTCGAATTGGCCGGGACTGACCGTCCGCGCTGTCAGCCGTTTAAACAGCAGAGGAAAGTGGCCCATACGGATGTCCGACGGAACGCCTTCACTCAGAGGGTCGTTGGAGCATGGAACGGACTCCCTGATGTGGTGGTTCTTTCCAAAACTATTGAATCCTTTAAATGCAGACTGAGAAGCTACTGCGCATATGATCACGATTGTTTTAGCGGAGTCCCTGGAGTCCCTTGGACCTAAAATTAACCCAGGCGTCTTACATCTTCTGTCGTCGTTATTTTACCAAGTAGCGACGTATAAGGAGGACGGTCCTGCTTGCATCGGTGCGACAGTTGATACATGCTTTGTGCACTTTATTCTTCTCTCCAAGCAGGTTGCGGATTTAATCGTCGTCTTCATCTAGCCATGCCTATCGTTACCGACGTGCGCATTCGAGGACATACAGAATGACTGGCTGGGTTTTGTCCCGTAATTTCCATCATTGTGCCTCCACGGTGGTCTTATCGACCTATGCCTGCAGTTTTTTCAGAAGCTGGACCAAATGGATGCCAAAATTAAAGCGGTCAGCAGGTGAATTCAACGAAACAGCATTTCACTTACTTTGTGGTCCCATGCGAGGCTCAAATTGGAGTCTCACATCGGAGATTACAGGTTGCGATCTGTATAGGCGGTCAGATAATAAGATAATAAGGACTTTACAGTGTAAAGCATCATAAGCTCGTTTCCGCGGCATCCGTGAGCACTCTTTAATTCAGTATGATTCATTATAAATAAGGAGGATAGGCAGAGCCTTTTCGAAAAACCCTATTTACAGACGTATGCTGAAAAACGCGAATAAGTTTACAGTCATATGAGTGCACTTAATTAATATTTGTGGTGTAAATAAATGGCTATTAATTAAGTCCTATGAAGCTTCCTTTTAAATGCCTTAACGCCTCCCACCATAACAACCAAATAAGGTATCTTGTTTCATTTTTCAATCGCCTGGTGCGAGAAGAGTTTGGCCCGCAATCCGAGTTTGGCGTGCTTTGTCATTAGTTTGAATTTGTAATCCCAGAGGTTTTTTACTCGTGTCAGTCCGAAAAAAACGGCCAGTTGAAGGGTTATGAAACAGAGGGTTTTTGCACTTTCAACAAAGTAATGGCTACAGCCAGGGAATACGAGCAGATAACTCAAAGAAACGGATATCTTCAGATAAAGGGCTATTAACTACGAACTCCAGATATAGGGTGAGCATTAAACTGCGACTTGCTTTCCTACCCATCTGTTATTTAAAGTGCAGCTGTTTTGCCTCGTTTGTAATCATGTTTGTACATGTAAAAACCCGATTTTGAGAACCAAGTCACAGCTGCAGCGCAATAATCTACCTGCCAGTTTCTTTTAATTCATTATTTGAATAGTCATGCAGCTGCACGGGTGTGAAGAGAATTGTAACGTTCCCGTCTAACGCGAGTATATAGTCAACGAGGCCCAACAGGATAAGACTGACTAGTCGCTATTTTACTGAAAAACCTATGTACACAAAGAAACTAAGGCAGGTGTCCTAATTACAAAAATAAACTGAATCTTGGGGTTGTCCATAGGGCGCCTTGGTGCACTGGAATCCAGCGAAGGCGACAGGGGTTCCTCGTCCGGAGAGCGGCGACCGGTCACGGGCTGGTCGGAGGTTAATCCTCGCCCGTATTTTTAGCTTCTTCAGAGCGGAAGTCGACAAGGTTGTGTCTGCCATTGTTGATTGGTTGAGGGTAGGTCAAGGGTGGTAAGTTAAACAAACTTAGGCCAGGACTATCTTGCTTGATTTTAGGGTTACAATATTTGTATTCATGCGTAAGTATTGAAAGGTAGGCATCCCAAGCAATATAAGTTGAAAAGAGGTAGGTTCTTTGGGACAAGAGGGATTATTGCGTAAATTTTCGACGCTGGTTCCGCAGGTCGTCGTCAGACGCAAGCGGAAAGCAAATGTGAAAGCAAGAAACAGCTAACGTCAAGAGTGCACAAAAAATCAATACTTGCATGGCGTGTGCGCCGGTTGGCGGCCGTCGTGCGTCAGTCTGAGCTGGTTGGTTCCCTTCTCTTCCATTTCTCCTTCAGGTTTCTGTACACGGCATCCAACTCGATATGCCGGTTGATGCATGAGTCATCAGAGTGCATCGCCTCGAGGAATTCTCGGCCTTTCTTGAAAGGGCAGACCGCGACAACGCGAGCTTTGTCCCAAGCGAAAGTGTGCCCGGTGTCCAGCGTATGCATGGCTACCTGAGACAGATGGTCTCGCCTCTTTACTGCCAACTGGTGCTCATGGATGCGTGTTGAGGCGGATTTTCCAGTCTGGCCACAATAGACGGCAGTACATGCATTACACGGTATCTTGTAGACGACCTCTTTCTTGTCCAGCTGATTAACCCTATCCTTAGGATGTACCAGCTGAGAGCGCAAAGTAGTCGTAGGTTTGTGCGCCACTCGAATTTGGTGCTTCCTTAAGTGCCTTTCGACGAGTTCAGACACATTCTTAATGTAAGGAAGGGTTCGCCAAGTGCTTAATTCAGGCGTCTGATTGGAACTACCCGGCTCCTTCTCCCTTGATTCTCGCTGCCTCATACATCTGCGTACAAAGTCCTTAGGGTATCCATTCTGCGAAAATAATTCGTACAAGTAATTCACTTCGGCTCGATAGTCTTCTTCATCCGAACAATGTGTTTTTGCTCGACCAAGCAGACTGTTTACGGTACTCCGTTTGTGAGAAATGGGCTGGTTGCTCTTATAAGGTAGAATGACTTCAGCGTAAGTTTCTTTCCGGTAAACGGATGTGCGTAACGTTCCGTCGACCTTACGCTGCACGAGAACATCCAGAAATGGGAGTTTGCAGTCCACTTCCGTTTCAAGTGTGAATTGAATCCCAGCAATTGTTGAGTTGATAGTATTGTGGAGCACTTCTAGTTGGTTCTTTTTCACGATAACAACTGTGTCATCCACATATCGCAGCCACAATTTAGGAGTACACAACGGGAGCGCCGTTGCCTCTAGTTTCTGCATTGTTATTTCAGCGAGAAAACCAGAAATGGGTGACCCCATAGGGGCTCCTTTCAGTTGCTTGTAGCATTGCTGGTCGAATGAAAAGTTAGTTTCCAAACATAAACCAATCAGTTCGAGCATAGCGGCGGCGGGCACATCTGTGTCGTAGCACAGCAGGAGGTCCTCGGTGCACTGTTTTGCGAAATCCAACGGTATTGACGTAAACAGGGAAACGACATCAAAAGAGACCATTATCTCATCGGCGGAAACTGTGATCCCTTGCAATTTCTTCAGGAATTCTGTCGAGTTCTCTATTGAGGTTTCACAATTTTTCGTGAGCGGATGAAGTTTCTGGAACAACCACTTGGAAATTTTGTAGTTAGGTGCACCGATTAGTGATACGATCGGTCTAAGTGGAACTTCGGTTTTGTGAACTTTAGGCAATCCATAGATCTTCGCGATGGTCGGCTTAGATTGTTTGAGCGATTTAGCGATGTCTTCTGACAGTTGTTTCTTCCCTGTGAGACGCTTCAACACTTTGTCGATGGATGAAGCTTGCGCTTTGGTGGGGTCTGTAGGGAGTGGTTGGTAAGTAGATCTGTCGTCTAATAATGACAGCATTTTCTGTTTGTAGTCCGTCTTGTTCAAAATGGCAGTGGAGCCTCCTTTGTCCGCGGGAAGAATGATAATATTTTGGTCCATTTTAAGGCCTTTAATCGCCTTTCTTTCTTCAAGTGATAGTACTGTAAACTGGTTCCGGTCTCTTAATGCATACCTTTTGTGAGAGGCCAAATTGCGACTAAGTGCCTGGCGTATAAATATGGAAAAGTTCGGCGCGCGCGCCCCAAAAGGGACGCGCTTTCTAGAACCTTCCCCAAGATGGCGGCCGCACGTGGTCGGGCACTCTATAACTTCCTACACAATCTACCGAAAGCATACGTATGCCCGCCAAACTGTCCTTTAAACTAACAAATTAAATCGAATTTCAAACAATGCACGCCAATTAAGTTAGGTTGCAAGTGGCGATTTGACATCTGTTTCGCAAAGTGCTGTAAAATTAATTGCATTTCGTTATCGGAAACTAATACCGAGCCCAAGAGCGAAAACTTTATTATCACAATACAGCGATCTATTGTAATAAGTCTGCCGGTAGACGTGTAGCGGCCTAAGACGTTAAGTTTGGTGCACATACGCTCGAAAAATCCACCTAAGGAACTTCTCGTTTATGCAACGTTGCCAGAGCTGTTAAAAACCACATTAAACATGCAAATAAGGATTAAAAAGAAAGGGGTCTCTAGTAGATTGAGGTCACTTTACGATAATAAACGTTGGAGTATAAATTGGTGGAAGGTCAGAAATACAAGAAAAAGGTGAGGTATTGTACAGATGATCCGTTTGGAGAGTGAGATGGTCACGCCATATCAGTTAGACACCTGTGGGGAATGCAGAATTGTCGGCACATGCGGGTAAGGGCCGGGGGCGGGCTGACGGCAAAAGGAATGCGACACGGTCGGACAGCGGAAGCGAGGGAGGCGAAAGCAGCTTTAAGGATGTAAGGAACATTGGTCATATTCAATGACAGACAATCACACCGAACTCATGGGGATCCGCGTCTGATAATCTCCGGTACCGTGCAATCCCTCCCTTCTTGACGGTCGAGAGTTTGTGAAAAGCTCCCACAAATTTTGGGTGCTGAAACCTCTGATCGACTACCGTAGCGATGGCGTTTGTAGTCTCTGACACCTATGGCCGGTTTCACCAGGGAAAAATTTCTTTGGCCAACAGCGACAGATGTTCTTCGGCGCTTCTGTTTGGACTAGTCCCAACTTCATAAAAGAAATTGGCGACTGATATTATCCGATACCGTGCAACCCATCCCTTCTTAGCGGTCAAAAGTTTGTCGCCAGCAGTTTTTTTTCTTCTGAACCCTCCAATCCATAAAACCACCATCAACCATATTTTTATTCCCTTCCCACAGGAGTTTTTTTTTCACTTCTGGCCGGATTTGTGTTAAACGCTTCCCTGACAATGCCTGTAAATTGTCATTAAATAAATCATTATTAAAGTGACCTCATTCCTTCCAAACAACTCTGAGAACCTTGTGTTGCGTTATAGACATGCAACTGTGACAAAGGCAGGACTAGCGACTGCCAACAAAACTGCAAGGTTGCAGATGCGGGTACTTTATTGTCATTTTCGTTTTTTCATCTTGGGTCTTTTGGTTTTTCTTCTACCATATTTGTATTGTTTTGTTTGATTAACCTGATGTACGTTGCACTTACTGGTCATTTGTTGTGCTTTCAAACGGTGGTTGTGGACAGCCAGCTGATCACGGGTCTGCGGGCTAACAACCCCAAGATTTCAGGATGCTGTTAATGTCTTCAGTCATTAACGCTATCTTCATGTTCCTTGTAGTATTGCTGTTATCTGCGGCTGTCAGTCCTGATTACCGGATTTTTCCGTCTTCAAGACCTGCTGTAGCACGTACATAAGCGGTCTGGTCGATTGAACTAGATTTTATTCGAAAAGATGCGATAAATGTGTGCTCGATTTCAAGAGGAATAGCGAGTACTTTGCGATTCTTCAGAAATGCATAGAAGGCTGCACTAAACGGATGGGAGCTCGCCTCTATACGCGTCCAGTTACTAGCGTACTTTTCACTTAAATAAGAAGATAAAACGCCTATGACCACGTTTGTCTCCAAAGCACTTCCACCATAAGAACACTAGTAACTGACCCAGCCGATGTTGGCTTTCATCTGTCACAAATAAAGGTCGGACTGTATGCCCATTACACATCTAACTCGTCATTGTCTTAACTACCCATCCCTATGGAGCCTCTTTGACACCATTCTTGGAGTACAGTGTCACAAATGAGGGGAGGCGAGCTTGCGTTACTCGTGGACCCCAAACCAATCCTGATTACCGACTAAACCGCCGTCTAACCGGTCTTACCCATGTATTGAACAAAATCACGGAGGTCATCCATTATCGTCTCTAGTACTCCCAGTACTGGCACAAACTTACCTGCCCCAGCAGGTGTGGCACTCGTCGAAGGCGGTCATGTGAGTAGGATTTTCTCGCTGCTACACAAATCGAGATAAAAAGGTTAAGCGTCAGGAGAGATGCTCAGACCGTATTTCTAGACCATATCAAGACCTTCGGCACAACAAACTACTAAGTTTCCAGAGATGATTTTCAAAGACGGTCTAGTCAGAAATGCACCCAACCGATTTGGAGGTTTTTTCAAAACACCGGACCTGTGTGTGCGCTCCATACGCCATACAACCCCAGTTAGCCGTGCCTAACGGTGTTTTCTGAAGGTCTATCACTGACTTGTCACAGATTGTTTTTATCAACCGTTCATGTGTATAGATAACATCAAACTTGTAGGGCAGACACTGCCAAGCTTTTGCCAGAGAATATCCGGCGCGAATGTCAACGCGGATTGACCATCTTAATACGTTTGGCCACACCTTACTGGTGTCGTCTTAGTAACCTGCGCCTGGTGAATTGACTGAACAGGCCCCAGTATTTACGACGTAACGAAGGTGGTAACATGCAGACCTTGTAAAACACCTAAAATAATCAAGGGCATGAATGAAGTGGACAAAGACAAGGCTTCACAGCGTAGTCACATACAAAGTCTTCGAGCGCACGCTCAGAAACAGTCAACGTCGACGGTACATCGGACTCAGCTGTTTGGTCATGTCGCCAAACGCGATTCCTGGTTGTACGAGTTTTCATCTCCCTGTCATAGCGATTAGAACTAACGGACTCCCCAACAACTCACTCTTTCCTTTAAGATAGACCACTTCACGCGGGTCATTACCAACTTGCTAGCATACATACCACGTTGGAGAAATCTTTCTCTTGTTTTAGAATGATCGAGGAATTTTCAATATTCACAACCCAGCCATAGGTCTACTATTATTCCACCAGATTTTATTTACTAACTTTAAAGTTATCGCATGGCATCCGCGACGAGCGTAGTTCTTGTTCGATCATTTGGTTTCCCAGCTATTTAGAATTGTAAGTTTAATAAATCCAAGGCTCGTAACTAGTCATGCCGTCACTTTGAAAAAATGGCTTTTATTAGGTGTATTGTCGCGATGTAGTTCAGCTCAACTTGCTCACTGTCATTTATGCCCCGTGTCCTAGCCTCAGTAATAAGCTCAAAGATTGTGCTGTAAATATGTGCCGGGCGTACACTTCACTGTCTTGTATTCCGAACTTTTGTCTAACTTAGCTGTCACCACAATTGAACTCGGTTCAGCATTCCTTTCCATGTTCAAACTGAGCTTCTAATTCTCCCGTATCTCTGACATCTTCTGTCCTGTAGCTTTGAAAAAGGTTCATAATGTGCTAGAACTGACGGTTTTTTAATGTGCGATTAAATATCTGCAAGTATGTTCTGTCAAGTCGATCCAATGTCTCAGTTTCCCGGGGACGCATTTATACTTCTCCATGTGGACCTAGATCCCTCGCCCTTTACTTCACTCCTCCCTAATTTAACACGTTCTTCTCTATTCAACCGCGTTCCATATATGTTTCCTTCGTGTTTACTTTCTTGCCCCCCAAAACGGACTCCACTGACGTGCTGAACCTAAACAGAGGCTATACATATGGCACATGTTAGGTAGGGGCTTTTCGCTGTGTCAGTCACTGCGCTGAACCGCATCTACAGTCTTCTTGACTCGGACTTCCCACTAGTACGCTATGAAGGAAGAAAGAGTAGGGTCGATCCAGCCCGCATCCATCGGGGCTTTTACCCTGCAACAGGTCTGACAGGCCTTAGACTGTCCTGATGCGCCAACAAATGTGACTCAGAAGGTTGTCAACTTACGCGACAACTCAGAAGTGAGGATCAGACCGCATGTTTCCCCTCACTTTTGACTTTGTAGCGTTATCCGTTCGGAAAATGTGACATCTTGCAGACCGGGTCGTGTATGGCACGCGTTATCGGACTTTTTAGCTGCTAGTTATTGCACTCTTCCTCTCCTCCATTCCTCGACGTTCTCTTGCCATTGAAATATGTGGTTGAGTCTACGCTGCGCAGGCCTGCTTCACTGGGGATGATTTCGCGAGCAGGTCGTCACTGCGTCCTATCAGGGACAAAAATGACCCCCCTTGCCTGTGATGAACTATCGAACTTTTACGTCCTTATATGCCAGCTTCTTAGCAGAAATGCCATCAGTTGTGTGATTTTCACCATTCTTGTTTCAGTATTATACACCGCTCATCCAGTCGTCTAGTAGGCTTTAGACTTTACTGATTTGGGTCCTTATTTCAATCCTTTGCTCCTAAGCGAAAATCCTCATCTTTTTTTAGAAAACTGACTCATGGATGTGACGCGTTTCCTTTCTTTCATTGTGCTACTGGTGACTCAATCATACGGTTTAAAGGAGCCCAAATGGACGGCAAGTTTACTGTCTCATCGGTTTTTACTGTCAAACAGCTTGCGATTGACATGTTCAGCGGAAACGACTCAAAAAACTTCTTCGCGATTGTCACAGCCACATCTTCATTCGAAAAGGTTTACCTATTGGCTGGAAATGCACCAAAAACATCGCCCGTCTCTATCATTCTCCTACGAGCAGACGCTCTATCTAATATTACTGTTAACAAGACAGCGCTTTTCAGCGGAGACCACATGACTATCAAAAATTCAATCGACGTCACAAAGGCGCACGAAGCGCATGG